ATTTTTGTTTCGTGGAGGGTTCTTCTTTTAAGGTTTTTTCTTCTTGCGGCAATCAACCGTCCGATGCCCATCGCTTCCACAGTTGAAGCACTTTCCATTGAACCTAAAAGTAGGATCCTAGGGCTTGTAGATCAACATTTTGGAGATGTCACCTCTAGCCCCCAGTTTCGAGCTTTTTCTTGTCGGTGGTTTCTTCTTAATCCCCGAGTATTGGCCATGCTCAACCATGTTTGCTTTCATAGTGGAGGTACTTCCCCCTTTCTTCCTGTTGTCTTCCTCAATGCATAGCCTGATAACGAGCTCTTTGAATGTCATCTCCTTTCGTTTGTGCTTCAAGTAATTTTTTGAAGTCTTTCCAGCCGTTAGGTAGCTTCTCAAGCAAAGCAACTGCCTGGAATGATTCACTTAGTAACATTCCCTCTGCATGAATCTTGTGCAGAATCACTTGAAAATCTTAGACTTGGCTAATAATGGTTTTAGAGTCCACCATTTTGAAGTCTAGAAACCGACCAACGACAAATTTCTTTGCCCCAGCATCCTCGATCTTGTACTTCTTGTCCAAAGCATCCCACAGCTCCTTTGCCGACTTCTTGGCATAAAACACGTTGAATAGTGTGTCTGCCAAGCCGTTCAAAATATAGTTCTGGCAAAGGAAGTTTGACTGCTTCTAAGCATCTAGAGCCACGAGTTTTTGTTTGTCTTGCTCATTCTCTTCCACTGCTAGTGGATCTCTACTAAAAAACCCCACAAGGCTAAGAGTAATCAAGTAGAATATAATTTTTTGGTGCCACTTCTTGAAATTCACTCCAGTGAACTTCTCCGGGCACTCATGATGGTTGAGTGGTCCTTTCAGAAAAGCAGGAGTAGCAACATGATTGACCATAGAGGTCACAACAACAGGGTTGACCATAGTGGTCACAGTAGGGGTTGGCAAGCCAGTTGACCCGGGGTTCTGATCCTTATCAACATTAGCAGCAGCACCAGCTATAGTTGCCATTTTCTGAAAAATATAATAAAATTTCACTATTATGTATTTCCAGAAACTAAACTTAACGTTAGAAAATCCCAAAGTTGAAAATTTAAGTCAAAACTAGTCTCACCACTTACCTTAGAATCGAACATGGTTAGGAAAGTTTTCAGGAAGGTTGGAGGGGTCACACCAGTCCTACTTAAGACCTAGTTAACCTTAGACAAAACTTTCAAGAGCATGTTGACTCCTAATCCATGGGAAACAAATTTAGAATTAAGTTTTTCAGGGGTTAAACTAAATTAAAACAAATGAACTTTCAAAACTTTACAAGCAATTAAAAAATTGCGAATCAAAGTACAAGCGATTAAAAATTGCTACAACAATTTACAAGCAAATAAAATGCTTCTAACATTACAAGCAAACACACTTGCTTCAAAAATTAAGTAATTAACCACTACTAAAACGCAAACAACAAATTGCTTCAAATATAAAGAAAAGTAACCAATCCAAATTAGGATTCTTTTGATCGAAAAATTCCTTTCCAGGTATTTTTGTTCAATAAAAAGGTTAGTAGTTCAAATTTTTGGTTTTACAGTTCCAAATTCCATTCATTTAATTTTGTTTTTTGTTTTTTTTTTCCATTCTCTTTTGCATGGTGTTCTTGTAAAGAAAGTTTGCAGAAAGACACAACAAAATACAAAACAAATAATTTAAAGAAATTGTAAATTCAATAAATTATTTTAAAACTTCTAACAATCTATTTAATAGCAAAATTACGTAAAGAATTGAAATGCTAGGCAAGTTACAGAAAAAAAAAACTTATAACTGCAAAAATTAAATTAAAATTATTTGGCAAGAGTTATATGCATTATTACACAATAAACATGTAAATAATTATAACAATTAACATGCATATAATTCTAGGGCAATTAACATGTAAATAATTCTAAAAATAAAATCATGCAAATAATTTTAGGAATATTAGATAGAAATTAGCATGCAAACAATTCTAGAAACTAATAAGCATGTAACATAAACTAAAATCTAGAAAATTTAGAACATGCAAATTATCCTACAAATTTAGGATCTAATAAACATGTGAGTTAAATTAAGATCTAGAAAATAATGAACATGTATATTATATGAGAAAAATAAAAAGTAATTAGCATGTCAATTTAAACTAAAAACTAGAGAGCATGCAAATTATATTATGAAACTATAAAATAAATAAGCATGTAAATCATGCCTATAAAATATAATTATTCTAGAATCAAACCTCATACAAATTTGCATATATTTATAAATTCAAATTATTAATCCTACCTAGCATGCATTTTTTTTTTTTGAACAAGGAAAAAAGGATGCTTTGAGGTGTTATCACTGCATTCGTAGGCCCAGGCCCCTGGATAGTCGGTTGCCAGCTTGATTTAACCTAACCCAAAGGAAAGAACCTACCACCGAGGCACCAGCGAAGCTCAACCATACGCCACAGATGAGCTCAGGATTCGATCGGAGCACAAAGCGAGCCACTGGACTTACCCAACATTTCGCTTCCCCTCAAGAATTGAACCTGGGGTCATGCCTATGGAAAAGGATGTCTTCTCCACTTGACTACCACCCTCGATGATTACCTAGCATGCATTTGGAGTGAGTGCTTGTACAACTCCCAATCAAACCATAAAGTTGTGTTTTCAAATTTTGTATTAAATTAAGACTAACAGTAGCAGAGAACTAATATGAAATCTTAAGGAAAAATATATATGTTTAATTAAAGAAATTATGAATTTTAGGTGGGAAACAGTGGCCTTATTATATATTAAACTGAATTTCTAATCAAGAATAATATGTAAAGGAATTGAAACAGTGGGCCACAGAATGATTACAATTCTTGGGATTTTAACACACCAGTACCGATATTATATTATTAACATAGTACTAGGACTGAAACTATTGATATTAAAAACTAAACATAACGAAGAACTAACACTACAAGAATTAACACTTTTGGCAACAAAAAAATTGGTCGCTAAAAGTCAATTTTTGGTCGGCAAAAGTTATCTGCGACCAATTTTTTTGGTCGCTACTTTGGTTGCTAATTGAGGGTTGACAAAAGTAATTCGCGACCAAAATTTTGGTTGGTCGGCAAAAGTTGGATTTGCCGACTAAATTTTTGGTCGCTAAATATTTAATTACCGCGACTAATTCATTTTGTCGCTAAAACACTTTGGTCGCGAAAAGTGATATTTTCCCAACCAAATATCTTAGTCGCCAATTGACACATTACGCGACCAAAAAGTTTGGTCGCCAATTATCACATTCAACGACCAAAAAGTTTGGTCGCCAATTGTGACATTCCACGACCAAAAAATTTGGTCGCCATTTGTTACTTTTCGCGACCAAAACTTTTGGTCGACAAAAGTGAGTTTCTAGGACCAAGAGCTGTCACGCCCTCAAAATAAACCCATAATAACCATAACATTAACATGCATTTATAAAAGAAAACGAATCATTTGAGTTATTCATCAGAGTCACATCCATCTAGCATAACAAATTGAAACAATACATAATTCAGATTTACAGCATCAGGAAAATTGCTTAATCCACTAAGTTGCCTTGATAGCCAATCAAAAAGATCCTTGCGCCCTTCCGTGCCAAGCTTCGCATCCATCAAAGCAGTAGTGATGTAAGGCACCTAAGAAAGAAACAGAATTGGAAAATTTAGAAGAGAAGCATGATAAATATATAAAATTAATCAAATACCACATTCAAGATATTGATCAAATACCAGATGGAGGGCCATGATCAACTCCCCTAGGAATAGAAAGTGTATTCTCCCAGTACCCTACATTCAAGATATTGATCAAATACCACAATTTCACCTTCTACTTCTGACAATGGTGGAGAAAGGTAAGCAGCACTAAAGTGGAGAGGGGTAGGAAAATTATATAACTGGGAGTGGGAACTGGGGGTGCAGGGGGAGATATCTAGTAGCTCTGCCCCAGCTTCTGATCCCAAATTATGAGAAAGCACCCCAAAAATCTTTGGAATTAAGCAGGTTTGTAAGAGCATGGGAACTGTAATGATATCCCTCTCCATGCAATTAATAAACTACACCCATTTGTCAGAATAGTAAGCCCATCTTCATATAGGCCACATAACCAAATTGATCCATGGTCACCTGTTTCAATTAATTACATGTTACCCATTGTCCCATTAAGAATCATTGTTAAGTTCATCAACATATATCATAGAATAGAATTGATAACCAAAGGTGAAAAGATAGTACCATCAATCTTCTATAAGGGCAAATCAAATTTAGTTGTCACATCTAGTTGCTAGGTCTCTATACACACAAAACTCTAGCTTCAATGATAGACAGAACAGAAGCATGTTAAAATATAAGCTTTCTGTATTGGTGTTGGTTCTTTAAACCCAAGACTATATATTGCTTTCATAAGCAGGGGAAGTAGCCTCAGTTCATTCCAAGCATAATATTCAGCTTCATCAACTGAATCTCCTTCAATATCTCTTGGGATCACTAACTTCTGTCACAATTTAATTTTGTGAAAAAAAAAAAACACTCGTTCAAACTGAATCCAAAATACAAACTATCTAACAAATTTAATCACTTTATGAAGCAGTCTGCACTATCTCATAAACTTAACTTTAAGATTGACCCAGAAATTGATAAGTGGCAGACTCATAACAAGTACATTTGTAGTGAACCAGAACCAAAATATTACCAAATCATTTATATATGAAAAAAGAGATCAAAACTTGTCAACCTTAACTGCATTCCCAACCCAAAGATCAATAAATTACCATTAATATGTAGAGAGACAAAAATACACCAAATTATGGTTTATCTAGCACAGAAATGGATAAATACTAAAGCATTGACATGTTCAGAACAAAATCTATAAGAAACCTTAACCTCAATCTAATCTAACAAAATTTTACACTGATCCACAAATTTACTAAAAAATAAATAAGCAGAATTACAATTCTGACTCAAATTATTAAAAATTGAAGAGAATTCAAAACACTAACCAGCAGTTGGTTCTTCATTTTCCTCAGAATTCTTTGCATCCTTGTTCTTCTTTTTCTTCTTTCTCTTCACTTTATTATCCTTCTCTTCACTTACAGCTTCAACCTCACCACCAAGCTCATCCTCAACTTCACTTTGCTTCCTTTTTTTCTCATTTTTATTTTCTTTAGTCCTTTCTTTCTTGTTTTCTCTCTCAGGTTTAGGAATTTCCAAACCATACTCAGATTCATCAATCTCTTCAAGCGATAGAAAACCTACATTCATAACCAAAATATATATATATATATCATCATCTCTTAAAATTTCCAACATCAACCCCTGTTTGGTTGCCGAGAAAATGCAGGAAACTAAAAGAACTCAACTTTTTAGAATTCTGAAGCATGTGCACAAAAACTAACAGAAACCCATAACGAAAAACAGCATGAAAACCCAAAATTTTCGTTTAATTGAAATTGAAAACAAATCGAACCTCCCTCGAGTTCGCTAGAGCCAACGGAGATAGAGAAAGGGTCGTCGATTTCGGAGAGAGAAGAGTTCCATGGAAGCGAATCGAAGCGGTCGAGCTGTTCAAAGCCTTGTCTGGGTCGCTTTGCCTTGTTTGGTTTCTTCTTTGAAGCCATGACCAGAGCTCAGAGCTTACAAACACAGTCGAACGGTGACCCTTTTAGGGTTGTACGAGTGTTTGCAGTGCGCAGTGTTTTGGATACTCGTGAAAATTAATAACATTACCAAATTTTTTGTTAAACTAGAGTTCCTTAAGGTTCACTAATTTTACAGAATTTTCGAATTGCTCAATCAAAACCTTGATTTTTAGTGAAAATCCCCAAATCAAAACCCTAGTTTGAATCTACAAACCTGGTTGAAGGGTGGAAGTGTTCTTTGCGTGCATTCGTCTCTTCCGTCTCCTTTCGGCCATCTTCTCTCTCCGTCGTTACTTCTCTTTCTTTGTTCTTTTCTTCTGGTTCAGAGCTCTGTCTGTGTGTATTTTCTTTGTCCATCTTCTCCTTCTCACTCATTGTTATGCCGGTTGGGGTTTGGGTTTGGGATTTGGGGTCTAAAGAAGAGAGAGAGTGAGGGTTTTGAAGAGTTTTTGCAAAAGAAAGAGATGAGGGTTTGGGATTTGGCGTCTGATGCAGAGAGAGGGTAGGGGTTTGAAGAGCTTTTGCAGAGACCAGAGAGAGAGAGAGAGAGAGAGAGGGGAGATGGTACGATGGAGAGAAATTTTTTTACTCGCAAAAAATCTTCATTTCCCCCCTCCATGTTTCAAATTTCCCTCCCAAACTTTTGGCGACCAAAAGACAATATTAGTCGCAGAAAAGGTACCTTCGCCGACAAATTTTTTTAGTCGCAAAAACTCAATCAACGGCGACTAAAATATTAGTTGCTAAAAATATAATTTGGCGACTAATTTTTTTTGGTTGCTGAAAATAAGTTTTTGGCGACCAAATTTTTGGTCGCCAAAAAATATGTGACCTTTCGCGACCAAATTTGTAGTTGGTCAGCAAAAGCATACCACTTTCTGCGACCAACTCATTTTTTGGTCGCCAAAATATAACCTTCTGCGACCAATAATATTTGGTCGCCAAAATTAATGATCATTCGCGACTAATTAATATTTGGTCGCCAAATGTCATTTTTTTACGACCAAAATTTTTTTGGTCTGCCAAAGTGGTCGCAAAATGTGTAAATTCTTGTAGTGTAACATGCTTATTCTTTCAGAAAACAAACACTTTCCTATTCGTTTTATTTATCATAACAGAAGCAAACAAATGGAATAAACTAACCTATTATAAAATATATATGAATTTAATTGTCTAATTTTATGAGAAACATATAATTTATATTAAGATTGTTGTACAAATTATATATTAAATAAAAACAAACAAATTCATATTTAATAGATTAAATTACAAGCATCTAAAAAAAATAAGATTAAATTACATATCAAGAAATCATGATACTAAACAACATGATAAACAAAAATATATATCAACCTAAAAGACTAAAATAAGACAAAGAAACAAATCGAATCTTGTGTGGTACAATAGTTTCTTTTAAAATAGATTCGCTGCCTCACTGTGGGTGTTCAAGGTATGCCGACGTTTGTCTCTCAGGATACGATGGTTTAGAACCCGCTAACATAGAAGCACCTTATGTTATCTTCGGTGAACTAACAACAACAACATTCTCTTACACAAAAAGAATAATATTATAGGAGCAAACTGATTATAATATGAAAGCAAAAATTTCTGTGTAAAAACCAAGGAAGATGCCCTCCTTTTATACATAATGGGAGAGAGAGGAGGAGCCTCCAAACCATGAAGGCTAGCAACAAATGCAGCCAATAAGTATGTAAGTTACACACAATATACATATGTGTGTGTATATATATATATCAGCAACCACCTAACAGACTTGGCCCAAAATGATTAGGTTGGTGGACCACCAATCCGGCCTAGTCCAAACCTAATCCAAGCCTCAAGCCTAAGGCTCACAGGCCTAGACTCGATTCAGGCAGGTGGGCAACGCGTGTGTGGCAATTTTCGTATAACCAACTTGAAAAATAGTTTTGCCCCAAGCCCATTCTTGAAGTATCCATAACTCAATATTTTCGAAAAATTTGGATTCCTCAAATGGCTCATACCCTTATCAAAATCTTGAGATTTAAATACTCATTAATACTTTCCTCTACAATTAATGTTGGCTAGGTAGTTATATACTATTCCCAATACCTCATTCATGAGGCCAACCTTATGAGACAATTTTTCATTCAATTTTAATGATTTTTTGTCATTCTTTTTGTAGTGTAAAGATCTTGTTGCAAAGAATCTAAACCCATTTGATCCCATCTTGACTAGTGGTAGGGACGTACTTTAATTTTACATTAAAGTCACTATAAAATCAAATTTTTCAACACTTTGTGGGGACATAAGGGTCCATTTGTTGACTTTGTTGGTGAAAAGTCCATGCACAACAAATTTAGTTCCATAAATGTTATCTATCTGTCCAATTTTTCTATCTATTCAATTTTTCAAGCCTATCTAAATTATTTTAATTTATTTTTCTCAATATTTTTAACCTATCTATCCAAATCTTTTAGTATATCCATCCCAATTATTTTTAACATATGTATATTAATCTGTCTAAATTTATTTTAACATATTGGTTACAAAATTGTTTTAAGCTATCACTCATCTGTCCAAATTATTTTGAGATCTTTTGATTTTTTTTTTATTTCTTATGTATTTTTTTTATTTTTTCTTTCTCTATTTATCTGTTAAAATTACTAATTTGTGAAAATATATTCAAATTAGCTATCTATTGATTTTACGACATACATCTGTGTAGGTGTTGAAATTTTTTTCTCAGTAAATGAGATTATGATTTGGTGTGTAGATCTGCAAATGAGATATCTGTTAAAATATTTGAAATTATGATTTTTATTTGTTAATAGTTTTTTTTTGGGCAAGATTGTAGCATGTTAGTTTGTTAGTAAAATTAAATTACAATTAAAAGGGTCGCCACTGCTCTATTAATTTGAATTCCTAACATTCCCCTCACCACACTCTAAGACGTGACTATTAAATTTATGAGTCGAGCACCCATATTTATATTAGTCCACCTAACATGCTTATTTTAAATAATTTTAAAAGCACAAACAGGATATGATAAATGTTGACTAACCTACTTTTTCTTTTAAAAAAATACTTCAATTTTGTAAAACAAGGATCATCTAATATAAAATATAAATATACATATAGTGAATTAATATAATTGTTAGTATATTATTGTATATTAGTGATGTTAGTATATTAGTGTTAGTATCTTTAGTATATTATGTACATCTAGTAGTGTTAGTCATAATTGTTAGTGTATCATTATGTCTAGCTTTCATAATGAGTGTTCCCCCTTTGCTTTATGCTTTCGGTGCTAATTGGCACCCTATGTATCTTTTCCTCTCTATAAAAGAGAGTGCACATCTCCTTGTAATATATAGAATAACATACATCTATCAATACACAATTTATTCTTTCCTTTTATCTATACATGTTATAGATTAAATCTTTCATGGTATCAGAGCTTAGTTAACCACCTAGTAATTTCGCTTCACCGGCGGGCGGCAGCCTCGCCTTGGCCGCCCGCCGGACGATGAGAAAACTAAGCACATAACATGTCTGCCATACCTCCCAACGGCGGGCGGCAACCTCGCCTTGGCCGCCCGCCGGACCTCAACCTAGTCCGCTAGAATTTTCTACACATACCTTGAAATTTCTTCGAGTCCACCACCTGCACGCCCAACTCCTTCGAGTCGCTGTCCTTAACTCACCCAGTCCACCCAGACACATACACAACACCAACTTGATCTTCTTATCCACAGCCACCCCAGGTAGCCTTGTTTCTTCAACAAACCAAAGGCTACAAGTGTGCACATTGACTACCATCACAGCCCCGACCAACACCACTGACCTGTCCCAGCTCCGGCTGCCGCAGACGTCGCGACCCAGTCACCGACCTATCCCAGCGTTGTGACCCAACCACCGACCAGTCCCCGCGTCGCGACCGCCGCAGCCGTGTGATCCAAGTTGCTACTCACCATTGCTGCTTCACTTCAGCCTAGCGACCTCAGAGATTTGGGCATACTGGATCTCAGTTTTTTTTTGCTCCCACAGCCACCGAAGACCACCACTACTTGCATGCCGCCCGTCGTCCTAGCCTAGGCCCCGCCGTCAGCCTGCGACAGAGTCACTCAAGGCACTGTCCCCCGCGCGACTACCCCAACTCGCACGGCCTGCCCGCTTCGCGTCTGACCCATGACGGATCGAACGTGACGCACCGCCTCGATGATGTTGCCGGTGCCGGCCTCGCCCTTGGTGCGATCATAACAGTCAATATTGTAGTCTGCCTCTGAACTTGATCCCACAACTTCATATCTTCCCATGCCGGTTCCATCTGAGGAAGGGAATAAAATAAACTCAGAGGCAAGGGGGCGAGAGGATGAACACGTGGTGATCTGCAAAGATGAATTTACAAAAATAAATAAAGACACAGGCCCTCTTCTCTCTCTCTCCACTTTATCAGTTTTGTCCTCCTCTTTTTCTCATCCATCACACATCCACCACCCACGTTATTTCACACTTTTCTTCTTTTATTTTAATATCTATATATATCTATATTTTTTTTATTATAATATATTTTTTTCTTATCCCTACTTTTATTTTATTTTATTTTCTTTTTCCATCAATATTTTCTTATTCCACAACTCGTTAGTGAGCATCACCCTTTTTCCATTATCTTATTATTATTTTTTATATTCCAGAAAAAAAAAAAACCTAACACTCACAAACCATCATCATATTTTCCACCGCCCAAACATTCTTTATCTTATATATATCTATATCTATATATATATATCCCACTCACCAACCTATAAAAGTCTTGTATCAAAGAAATGTTTAGTGTGGTAGAGCGTCCTAGACGGCCCTTGACGGTGTTGCCTCCGTGTTTCCCACGCCACCGCGCACGTTCCCTCCCCCTTGCTCCTCCACTGCAGCATATGGCGGATCTCCAAATCGGAACATAACGGTGGTCTTCCGCTTCAGTTCCTTGTTTTCCGCTTTTAGCACATATATCTCTGCTCGCGCATCCTTATACATGCGCTGGAGCAGAGCCAGTTGGGCGTTTAACTGCTGCACCTCATTTGTCCTACTCTGCAGCCGGTGCAACAAGTTTGTGACTGCAGTCATCGTCTCCACGCATGACTTCAATGTATACTGATTGGCTTCAATATCCGTTTGCACTGCCATTTTTTGCTCCACCGACCGCATCGGAAAGTTCAATGGAGCAAAAAGAGAGGTGTTTGGTTGAGGTTCACTGGCCACCGCACCAGTTATCTCTCTTGTTGACTCATTGAGGTCGGGAAAGAGAGTGAGCAGACCACGGGAAGACGAAGCCATTTTCTGGGCACCAACGTGTTACAGAGTATCTCTCTCAGCAAAATTTTCTGGGCACCAGAGTGTTACAGAGTTTCTCTCTCAGAAACAGACGAGTTTTTCAAAGGATTTTCGCAGGTTTTTTTTTGTCTCAGCCTCAGCCTCGGCCTCAGCCTCCGTCTTGGTTAAATAGCCGAGGCAGCCACGCGCATCGCGCGCCACTTGACGCTCGACGACAACATGGGCACACCTTTTGATGGGCGCCTCGCCATAATGACC